CAATGCTTCTGGTTGAGTGAGTTCGTGTTGAAGTTAACCAGACGCGAGCTCCTCAATTATTTCCACTGAGTTCAACTGACGACAGGGTATGACAGTGCTGTTGATAGGTGGATATATAATATCATCAGCTCCAGTGTTCCAATTCATTGATGGTCTTGTGAAGTGGTTTAGTTGACTGGAGTCGATGTCTACTTGTATGTGAAGTTATGAGTTTGGAGTTGAAGACGGACGAGTGTGTTTCGTCACGGTTGGTGATCAGTGGTGCTAGTTAGTAAAAGTCACACCACTTGAACATGATCCCAGATCGAAGTGAGTGCGAACGCACTGCCTCCAGGGAGAATTGAACTCCCGACCCCTGGTTTACTAGACCAGTGCTCTAACCACTGAGCTATGGAGGCGCGGCAATGTGCCAACGACACCAGCCTCAACACAACACAACTCACAAACATACTACACCAACCATCAACACACACACACACACACACACACAATCACACACTATCAACTCAAAACAAACACAAACAATACACGTCCTACAACTGACTCCGTCCACTCTTCCAAACATCACATTCATGCATCAACAACAAACACCAACATCACTGATTAGACTACCACATAACTAGTACGACACCTGAAAATCACACATATTATCAAATAACATCAACCTATTCCCACTTACTACAGACACCTCCGAATCACACCAACCCATTCATCATCATTAGTATTATTATCATCAACAAACACCTTAACAATTCGCTCCATGCTTGATCAATCACTCGAAATCCATTCTGCATATTTATATATGTATATCTATGTAGATGCAAATATCTACACATATAGTTATTCGTAAATACATATAAATATATACTGGGGCACTACTTCAATCATTTCACTACGATCTCTCACTGTTCAGATTGGCAGCAGTGACAGTAGGATAATAACAATCCTCAAATCTCTTGTTCTATAGACACGAGCGAATTCGGAACGAAATGCATCACAATGAGCTCGCCAATTCATAGACAAACTGATATCTTAGCATCGTCACGTGTGGCGTAATTCCACAACAAGTTGTCATGCTGAAACACAAGCCAACCTGAAACAGCTGCTCACATGACTAGCTCGTATTAGCGCATACATTCCACACACTCACCTGAAGCCCTAATCCTACCAGACAGGGAAGATCACTGACGAGTGTCTCATGCCGATCAGGTGACGACGTGGTGGCAATCCATGGAGAAGCCCGTGACGACTGATGTTCACTTCTTCCGTGCTCTATGCAAACCGTCTAAACTCTGGTTTACCAACAAGTCTCATCAAAGCCTATCTTTACATATTCCTGTTGTATCGTGTATGTCTGAGAATATCTATCAAATGTTTGTGTAGACGAACTGGTGTGGGGAGAGCGAAAATCGCATCACCACGCCCACCAACCGACCGAATACTCAGCTCCACTATCCACTCTTCAACAGGTCGATACCTTACCCCTAACAAAAGTGTTGCCGAAGTACACAAACAGTCGCACAATTCCGTGGAGATAATATTCTCACTTGATATGCTCCAAGTGCATTGGAGTCGAGTGAAAAACAGGTTTCCGATGATTCGCTCGTCTCTCGCTGCATCGCTCAACATTCAATGCTTCTGGTTGAGTGAGTTCGTGTTGAAGTTAACCAGACGCGAGCTCCTCAATTATTTCCACTGAGTTCAACTGACGACAGGGTATGACAGTGCTGTTGATAGGTGGATATATAATATCATCAGCTCCAGTGTTCCAATTCATTGATGGTCTTGTGAAGTGGTTTAGTTGACTGGAGTCGATGTCTACTTGTATGTGAAGTTATGAGTTTGGAGTTGAAGACGGACGAGTGTGTTTCGTCACGGTTGGTGATCAGTGGTGCTAGTTAGTAAAAGTCACACCACTTGAACATGATCCCAGATCGAAGTGAGTGCGAACGCACTGCCTCCAGGGAGAATTGAACTCCTGACCCCTGGTTTACTAGACCAGTGCTCTAACCACTGAGCTATGGAGGCGCGGCAATGTGCCAACGACACCAGCCTCAACACAACACAACTCACAAACATACTACACCAACCATCAACACACACACACACACACACACAATCACACACTATCAACTCAAAACAAACACAAACAATACACGTCCTACAACTGACTCCGTCCACTCTTCCAAACATCACATTCATGCATCAACAACAAACACCAACATCACTGATTAGACTACCACATAACTAGTACGACACCTGAAAATCACACATATTATCAAATAACATCAACCTATTCCCACTTACTACAGACACCTCCGAATCACACCAACCCATTCATTATCATTAGTATTATTATCATCAACAAACACCTTAACAATTCGCTCCATGCTTGATCAATCACTCGAAATCCATTCTGCATATTTATATATGTATATCTATGTAGATGCAAATATCTACACATATAGTTATTCGTAAATACATATAAATATATACTGGGGCACTACTTCAATCATTTCACTACGATCTCTCACTGTTCAGATTGGCAGCAGTGACAGTAGGATAATAACAATCCTCAAATCTCTTGTTCTATAGACACGAGCGAATTCGGAACGAAATGCATCACAATGAGCTCGCCAATTCATAGACAAACTGATATCTTAGCATCGTCACGTGTGGCGTAATTCCACAACAAGTTGTCATGCTGAAACACAAGCCAACCTGAAACAGCTGCTCACATGACTAGCTCGTATTAGCGCATACATTCCACACACTCACCTGAAGCCCTAATCCTACCAGACAGGGAAGATCACTGACGAGTGTCTCATGCCGATCAGGTGACGACGTGGTGGCAATCCATGGAGAAGCCCGTGACGACTGATGTTCACTTCTTCCGTGCTCTATGCAAACCGTCTAAACTCTGGTTTACCAACAAGTCTCATCAAAGCCTATCTTTACATATTCCTGTTGTGTCGTGTATGTCTGAGAATATCTATCAAATGTTTGTGTAGACGAACTGGTGTGGGGAGAGCGAAAATCGCATCACCACGCCCACCAACCGACCGAATACTCAGCTCCACTATCCACTCTTCAACAGGTCGATACCTTACCCCTAACAAAAGTGTTGCCGAAGTACACAAACAGTCGCACAATTCCGTGGAGATAATATTCTCACTTGATATGCTCCAAGTGCATTGGAGTCGAGTGAAAAACAGGTTTCCGATGATTCGCTCGTCTCTCGCTGCATCGCTCAACATTCAATGCTTCTGGTTGAGTGAGTTCGTGTTGAAGTTAACCAGACGCGAGCTCCTCAATTATTTCCACTGAGTTCAACTGACGACAGGGTATGACAGTGCTGTTGATAGGTGGATATATAATATCATCAGCTCCAGTGTTCCAATTCATTGATGGTCTTGTGAAGTGGTTTAGTTGACTGGAGTCGATGTCTACTTGTATGTGAAGTTATGAGTTTGGAGTTGAAGACGGACGAGTGTGTTTCGTCACGGTTGGTGATCAGTGGTGCTAGTTAGTAAAAGTCACACCACTTGAACATGATCCCAGATCGAAGTGAGTGCGAACGCACTGCCTCCAGGGAGAATTGAACTCCCGACCCCTGGTTTACTAGACCAGTGCTCTAACCACTGAGCTATGGAGGCGCGGCAATGTGCCAACGACACCAGCCTCAACACAACACAACTCACAAACATACTACACCAACCATCAACACACACACACACACACACACACAATCACACACTATCAACTCAAAACAAACACAAACAATACACGTCCTACAACTGACTCCGTCCACTCTTCCAAACATCACATTCATGCATCAACAACAAACACCAACATCACTGATTAGACTACCACATAACTAGTACGACACCTGAAAATCACACATATTATCAAATAACATCAACCTATTCCCACTTACTACAGACACCTCCGAATCACACCAACCCATTCATTATCATTAGTATTATTATCATCAACAAACACCTTAACAATTCGCTCCATGCTTGATCAATCACTCGAAATCCATTCTGCATATTTATATATGTATATCTATGTAGATGCAAATATCTACACATATAGTTATTCGTAAATACATATAAATATATACTGGGGCACTACTTCAATCATTTCACTACGATCTCTCACTGTTCAGATTGGCAGCAGTGACAGTAGGATAATAACAATCCTCAAATCTCTTGTTCTATAGACACGAGCGAATTCGGAACGAAATGCATCACAATGAGCTCGCCAATTCATAGACAAACTGATATCTTAGCATCGTCACGTGTGGCGTAATTCCACAACAAGTTGTCATGCTGAAACACAAGCCAACCTGAAACAGCTGCTCACATGACTAGCTCGTATTAGCGCATACATTCCACACACTCACCTGAAGCCCTAATCCTACCAGACAGGGAAGATCACTGACGAGTGTCTCATGCCGATCAGGTGACGACGTGGTGGCAATCCAGTAACACAATTTTTGGAAAAAATGTTCATTGTTTTTCATTTTTTGTCTTTCTTTCGTTTTTTTTTTCTTTTCCTGTTTTTTTTTGCATTTGTTATTTTGCTTCTTTTTCTCATACTTTTGCTCTATTATTTTGTTTTCATTTTAATATTGCACGAAATACTCTTCTATTTGCCCATTTTCTGGATATTTTCATGTGATTATCTTTGACCGGTGTAGACTTTTGACCGTATAGTGAATTGTCCGTGGTCTGTATATCAAGCGTTCGTACTCGAGACCTTAGGTCGTTGTTTCGAATCCATCTAGCGGGATTCTAAAAGCTCACTGCTTTATAGTTCCATTCTTGTACATAACGGTCGTCTAGTGCTTCATGCTTTTCTATTGTGTTCTAACATCAACCGATTCACGAGCTCTATCAACAACGTAAAAATCACCACAACCACATACTAATAATTTTCATGTTTGTTTTGCATAAATTATTGAAACTTTTTAAATATTTTTTTTTTCATGTTACCTGTAGTTTTTCGCGGCTTGTTTTTCCAGTTCTATTTCTTTGCGAATTCGAACCATCTCCTGGCGAATTAATTCTTCATCTCGTCTCTCTTCTGCTTGCCTCAATTTTTCGTCCTACGTTGATTTAAAACAAATTAGCAGAAATTGTTTGAGAACCTAATTAGTAAGACCTATATCATTTACTAAAACATATTGACGAATAGATCGATATTTGTTCATTATAGCCACCTACCGAACTCATTGATAACATATTTGGTTGTCGTCATCATTATAAGAAAGATGAACATTCCCAGGTTTTACTGTACATTTCCAAAATTTCGCAACCTGACGTCATCTTTCTTTTCTAGCTAAATCTAAATTCTTATTGGAGAGCAAATATGGTGCAAAAATCGTGCCTAATAAAAATGTTTTGTTCTAACACTTCACAAAATTATCATAAAATAAAAAGAAACTTAAGTAAGCATATATTAAAGTCAAGAAGAAAAATCTGAGAAAACGTCGAACAAATAGATTTGCTGAGGTTAGTTTAGTCGGATAATAGTTATCGTCACGAGTATACACTAACAAGAGAGCCTTCGGAGGTCACAGAGTACCTGACATCTGTTTATTCCACTGTGGGACTTATCACCATTGTGTACCTGTGATCTCACTTGTGATCTAATTCTATACCTTTAGACAATCACTGGTAACCGGTTTTACGACAGATTTCTGGACTTCATGTCAAAAATTGTGATTAGTGAAGTTGAATTTTGTCCTGTGTGAGGCAGCCACCTACCCACACTGTCTGATAAAACTCGCATTACATGGCCAACCAAAAGTATAAATAATTGGATAATAAGTCAGACGTCTACATGTAACACGCTCACTGTAAAACCTAAAGTTCTTGAGTTGAATCGCTCTATGTCATAATGAAACAGCTATCCAGTGTTTCCTAGCCTTTAGTCTATCTTCGCCCCGTTTAAATCCGTAGCAAAAACTATCTTCAGAATATAAGGTTACAAGATCTCCAAGATTAATAGAAGTGTAACGGATGAATGTTGTTGGAACTGTTCTGAAGTAACAGGAAACTCCAATCTATAACCTCATGACAAACCAGTTTTGATATTTAGAACACAATTATAAATTAAGCAAAACTGCATCCACTCTTTGTGTTCTGCCAAATTCTAATCTTCTGAATTCTTCATGTCCCTATCCTTTTTCTCTTTCCAAATGTATTTCACTGGTTTATACTCTTTGAATAACATCTTCAAACCCTAATCTTTCACATTACTGCTTATACTTTTACTACTTCTACCACTATGGGATTTGAATTGACAACTGCATCTCTGTGCTAATGTGGTATGGCAACTCGAACTGATATACGTACGTACGAAGTTCTACGTTGTGACTGACTGATTATCCTTATTAACGGAGCTATTTGTCATAAACCACATGGAAGATGCCAATAAATAATTTTACACACATCCATGCAGAGAATAGTAAAACATCAAAAGCGGTGCATTGAATCTTCTATAAGAGATAATTATAGTATAAAGAGAAGTATCATAAAAATATATACTTGTTTAGCTTTGTACAAAATTTGTGCTTTTATTTGACGATCAGTAGCTTCAAGAATACGACGAGATTCCAATTCTTTTTGTCTTAGTTCACGTCGTGCTTTAGCTTCTTCTTGACGTAGGAGAATTTTTTCCAATGTAGACTGACGCTGACATGAATAACCAATGTAACGTAAATCTGAGTCATTAGAATCATGTTCTCCATAGCGATTGTCTTTTAAGTGATTATCAACTTCATAGTCATCTGAAAACTTAAATTTCGGAAAAATAATGAAATTTATAAATCTATAGAATTATACCAACATTGTAGTAGTATGGTCTTTTTTAAGCTAAACGTATAGTGATGGAGTTTTAAATGTCTATCTATACAATATAAAATTTTCTTAAACTACACAAGGCTCATTGGAATGTCTTCATAAGCTAATAGCTACTTATAGATTGACGTATTCGTATGCAAAATATCGGAAAACAGAGTGAAACACTTTTATATATTGATTATTTGAATCTTCTCATTGTTGTTTAGGAAAGCAATCAATAAATCTCTTTTGAAATATTTGCATCCTATGAGGATTTTCTTGATATTGCCATTAAGTCACAAGCATTTTTGGGGCAAAGATCGATGGTAGCTAGAAGTGGAATCCGAGATGCCCGTTTTGTCAACTGAATATACCTGCATCTCAGAGTTGGTTTTCATGCCGGTACTCGAACGCAGTGCTGTTGTGAGTTTTGGAGAAAGAATCAAATCTGGGATGCAGTTATATTCAGTTGACGAGTTCCAAATAAAACGAAACTGGTACCCTGGATTGCACCTCTAAACACCATACATCTCCGTTTACAAAAATCAGAATAGAGTAATTGAATATACTAGCTCCGTTATTCATTTAAGCGGCTACTTCAGACACAATCAGCTTTTATTCGTTAAAACTCTATCTTAGATAAAAATAGCCAACGTGAGATATGCTGAATGATATCTGGGAGCTAAGGCAATAATTCGATAACGTGAAAGTCTTCGGTTCGTTTTCATTAAAGATAGTAGGTACGCACATCCGAGAAATGCCAAACGAGGATAAAATACTAATCCGTTGTCCACTCAACTCTGATTTTCAATATCTAACCATAGGTCTACAATTCATCATGGAAACATTTCTTCATCATGTATAAATATAGCCGCAAAATCCTCCAAGTCAAGATTAAAATATTAAACACAATAAATTCAGTACACCTGATGTACGAATAACACTGAAATCCAGGACCTGAGTTTCGTCTTATTTAAGATCCATTAGACGGATATACCTATATCCCAGAGTTGTGTTTTACAATGAGATTTAAAACCAGAACTTTAAACTCGAAGTGCTAACACTATATCTACTAAAATGCTGAGTTCAGTGGTCCACAAACTTATTCGACAGATATAAAACTTATACTAAGGGTTTGTAATTTTCTGTTGTTGATATTCTGGATGCACAAATATGATAACAAAAACTGATCAGTCACAGTCTCGAACATCAACAATGCCAAACTACAAATCCTTACTAATATCATGAATCCAGTTAATCGTTAAGCCAAGAATCTAATAAAATTAATATCATTTGATACATAAAGTACTTTTATGAAAAGGAGTATTCTATCTTAACCAAAGCCGTCACCAAAATTGGTCTGGTTTTTACTTCTCCCCATCATTTTGAGTTGTTAAAAAGTATTTAAAGAAATATAATAATAACTTGAATATAACTAAGGTATGAAAATTATATCTGTAGTCAACTTGTTTACTCCTGGAAATGATAGATGTTGTTGACAAGAACTAACATTTCTTTGAAGTTAAATGCTAGTCAATCAGTCGGCCAATTATTCGTAACGGAGAACCTGGTGCATTTGTGCATCGGTTCAAGTTGTCAAGCTACGTTGCCACAGAAAAATCAATAACATAGTAGTAGGAATAGAAAAGTTGTCAATGGTGATAGAGAAAATTAGTTACAGACGAAATGATTCCAGAAGAAAGAATTAATTCGTTGAATAAAAGAAACAATATAAAATGATTTTGAAACTAAAGATCTAAAGAAAGACAAAGAGTGAATGCATTTGCACTACTGTGATCGATTCTGCATCATGTTACACAATGTCTCCGACTATTGGTTCCGATAATTACTCGGGCGCCAACCAACTAGTCTGAACCTATCAACTCGATTAGGCACAACTTCCAACGACTTCATGGACCGATTTCACGTTTTGATTTGCCCGCCCTTAAACCGCTTCCTATTAATTAATCAACAATATATCTTTGTATTCATAACTTTACACATATTTAATGAACAGTGGTATATGCTACTGATAACCAGAGAAGCGAAATATTAAGTATACGAACCAAGAGATAATTGTTATTATGTCTCTAATACCGTGAATTAAGGTCCCGTTAATCGATATTTGAACTGGAAAAATAATATTAGCTGCTTTTTACCGATCTATGTAAAACAAAACTGATTCAACGAAGATAAAAATTTACGGATATAATAGTAAAGTGTTTGTAATGCAATGACACGATATGTTATCATATCAATTTGTAATCAGCTGACGCATCGCGACATATATATGATTTGTCAATCTACACGGAAAAGATACACCATTCACATGAGCAGTGATCAAATGAAAGAGAGAATTGTAAGGAACATAAAAGTTAATACAGATAAGAAATCTACGACTAGAACTGGTCACTTTTATGAACATCAAGTTGGACTGATTTAGTGCTCGTACAATAGGTTATAGAGAATCTCAGTTCTATAACAGAAAAGGCTAATAGTAATATGCAGAATGAAAACAAAAGGCTTCTCATCCAGATCGGAGAATGCATGATTCAAAAGCAACCATCTGATAAATAAATCCTGAACATTGTTTCAATGAATCAAAATGTCTTTTGTGAATAACGTGCATCTGTCAATGAAAGATATTATGTGAAGTTTGATGACTCTATCCATTCACCCGGATCATATTAGATGCCTTAACATTCACACATGTAATAGCTACAGACAAAATCTTGACAGAATTCCAGTAATATGCAAATTTTTTGAAATACGTTACAATATGATACATAGATTTTTATACTCTGACAACTTACATTATTCTTTCGATTGTTATTTTTAAATAGATGATCCCATTCTTTTTTAATTTCTTTTCGATTAGGAGTAATTGGCTTAAAATCATCAGTCCCACTATTTAAATCTTCAATATCAAAAGTATTTTTAATCATCCATTCATTTAATAAACTACGAGCTTCTTTATAAACTATAAAATTTAATTAATTGAAGGTTTATAAAAAATTACCATTGAAAGTATTCAATTGATTTGATTTGTTGAAATGCTCAGAATGAATCGGATAATTTGGAAGATTCTTAAGAATGATGTAAATGTCAATCGAATAGGTGACTCTAGCTTACTTTAAAGAAGTAATTTTGATTATAGATGATATCGGTTGGATGGATGAAATCACTTTTCTTCATTGATAAGCAAGAATCTGAAATAAATTGAAATAGGTTGAAAATAAATGGATCCAATAAAAACAACAACTAAGAACTGGGTTAAAAAAAAACTTCACCAAAACTATGTATAATATATAGTACGAAGTGTCTGAAATGTTCCCATGAAGAAAGTTAAGAAATAATCACCTAAATTCACCTAAAAAACTTACATTTTAATTCGTTTATACCGATCGACGAAACGGCCGTCTAGTGCTTCCAGGTTTTCAATGGTGGTCTAGCTTCAATTGATACATGATTTCAACTATGAAAATACTAAATTCTCCACAAAATCCCTTCTGATATGTTATGAGAATTATCAAAGTTTTCGCTAATGTTATAATAAAATGTAAATTCAAGTATTAAAATGGTTTTATGCCTTCTTCGTTCTTTTGTAACGAATTCTGATACTAAGAAAATACATGTAATAATTGTGAATCTATTCTTACTGACTAATGTTCATGCATACGTAACATGAAACCAAATTACTACTAACGCCTGTTACTCCCAGTAGAGCATAGGCCACCGACCAGCATTCTCCAACTTACTCACTCTGTCATGTGCCTTCCTTTCTAGTTCTATCCAATTTTGTTCATTCTTCTCATTTCTGTCTCCATTTCTCGTCGTAATGTGTTCTTTGGTCTTCCTCTTTTCCTTTGGCCTTCAGGATTCCATGTGACGGCTTGCCTTGTGATGCAGTTGGGTGCTTTCCTAAATGTATGTCCTATCCACTTCCAGCGTTTCTTCCTGATTTCTTCATCCACTGGATGAATTCTGGTTTGTTCTTTCCCACAGTAGGTTGTTGCTGATAGTGTCTGGTCAACGGATCCGAAGTATCTTGCGTAGACAACTAATGTTCATGATAATAGCTATTTTTTTGTAAATCTGCACTCTCCTACTAAAAAATAATTAAACTAGAATCTACCATTTCTTCAAATGTAAATACTTCGATATTTGATACTAGTATTTTAGTAAGCTATTTTTTACACCAAATAAAACCACGGAACTCTGAATCTGGTCATGTATCAATGACGTAGGCCTGCTTTATAGTTCCGGAAGTAGAAACATTGTTTCAAACTGAAAACCACAACTCCGTCTTTAAATCATGTTTTACACTGCTTATTAGAGTTTTGCTTCTTGAGTCCAAGTTATGATATAAATCGGTAAATATTATTTTACTTTTTAATTCTGCCCAGGACGATTTTTCTATAAACACAACAAGCTACTTAAATAATGTTAGTAGTATCAAAATATTATAATTTTAAAACAGATACTTGGCTTTTATCCTTCAGCTTTGAAGATTTATGATGAAGCAGAACTAAACAAAACTGGCTACATTAACTTTTCTTATTTTGTGACTAAATATCATGACATAGTCACAAATAACCATATTCCTGTTATCCTTCATTAAACGCAGAAGTAAAATTGTACGTGGTGACTTGATTACAAATGGCTAGACATGATGCAGATGAAGGTCTCTATTAAAACACCCATATTTTTGTCAAAAACTAAGTCGTATAGTGGAACAAAATTCTCGGTAGTAGAAATTCGACATTAAAAATTAGAACCCGTGAATGTTACAAACACCTAGTCATTCTATGATTAAATATAAAGTAAGAAATGTTTATGACTCAGAAATATAAAAGTTGTAAGAATGCATACACTTAAAATATCTGCTAAAGTCTCATTCAACCTGGACGTTGAGGATCTTGAGATTCCAGTATTAAGTGACAAAGAATGATGCTAACAACTACTACCTGTGACAAGAATAGAACTATATATCACTTTTTTCGAGTTATAATCCTAAATTCTGTCAAATGAGGAACTCACTCCTGTAAGCTAACCACAGTGTTACGATTTTGTCACGACCAACGTATGCCTTAAATGAATTTAGAGTACATTTACATCTTTCATTTTGGGGCAATAAGTAATATAGTGCTGTCAGTTGTACTAAAGCAACACAAAGAAAATGGTGTATATAACTAATGACTAATGATATAATACATGTACATTTGTATATTAGTAGCGCATTTAAAGGAGATCGAACTTTCCATTGTCGAGTATTTATTCAGCCTGAGTTATGTTTATGCGCCGAACGCTTAGAGAGTGAAATAATACAATGCTAATCAAGTGAGAGAAAATGATAATATTCACTGTAGTTGAAAACCATTCAAAATAGTAATAATTTGAATGAATGAGCCATTTAAACAGTAGGTAACATGATAGTTGCTAAATGTAGTATAACTGCTAATGTATCAATCTCATATATAGTTTGTAAAATGAAATAGTTTCCACCAGCGAATTCAATGGTGAAGTAATGACTTATTTTTTTATATTAGTAAGAATACAAATCAGTAACATATCGTAAGGTTCCAAGACATTTTAAGTGACAGTAGTATAAATGCTCCAACAACAAAGACAATTGACCGGTCACAATCGGCCCGCTGTTTTTATTTAAAATATTGATTTTGGCCTCACTAAGTTGTTTTATCTTATACTAGCAATGCTTCGAAGATATGTACAGTAAAAAAATTACATCATTTTGGTATGGTTTATTTATTCCTATTGTTGAGCCGGTACAGGTAATCACTAGGTCAAATAGTGTACTCCAGTAGTGCTCAAAGTTAGTTTTTATTAGTAACAAGTGATTATCTGAAAACAGTTGCAGCAAATGAGTATTATTACGAAACCCTAAAGGCTGAAATTAGGTTTTTTCCCAGGTTTAGCTTACTTTTATGACGGATAATATTGCCCTTCGTGTCATCAACTTCTCGCGTCAAATTAAAGACCCTCCAACTTTAAGCGATCTTTTATTCCATCCACGTTACAAGCTGAGAAATGGTAAGCACAGACTCTGAACAGGAAAAGGTGTAAATCTCTGGTCTTCCGAATCATTTAGTTCCAAGTACCAGAAAACTGATATTCAGTCTACTACACTTTTTTCTGCACTAAAGAATGATTATGTTGTACAGCTAACGACAAAAGAAGGCATATTTATCGAGTTTTCAGATGAGCATAGGGTGATCAGTGTTAATTTTCTATATAGTTATATGGGTTTAGTGAGTGATCAAACTTCAGTTATGTGAACAAGTTTCAGAGACATAAAATATATATGCACTGGTACTTTATGACTTTATTCAACAAAGTCTGACGTTGATTCTGACACAGGAGCTGTATATTGAAAGCTCCGAAATGTTACCTAGAGTGTGCTTCTAGAAACCATGGATGACATTTTTAAAAATCCAATTCTTGTTACTAGTGTTGCATGAGATAGATTATGAGGCTAAAATGAGAGTTCAATAATTCAAACAAACGAGACTTTAGGAAGAGAAGTAGATTGCTTTTGAAACACTGAGCAATGGTAAAAATATCTAGCTAATCGAAAGTTATGCTTTAAAGCATATCTATAGACCGTGAAAAGTAAATACTTGTGGTCAGTCACATATATTTTTTTTTGGTGTCTATTATGTCTATACTTTTTCAACCTTAAAAATGGCACATGAAATCCATGTAAAAAAGGTGTGTGTTGTTAGTCCTGTGCTTTTCTAACCTTATCCTTATTATCTGGAAAAGTAGGAGCTCTGAGTTATGCTCGCATACACAACCCAAATCAGGAGTTAGTGACTTCATGAACGAGCTCCATGCCTTACTCAAATCTTGTCAGTTGTTTTCAACATCAATAATATTTTAAATAACATTTTGTGACCCAGTATCTGACTCCGGTTCGGTCGTATAAAGATACTGTGAACATGAATCTTTCATTTAACTCCGTATTTTACCTTTGGAACTAAGTTTGTGTGGTGGCGGTACTAAGAAGCCAACTACGGGTCTAGTTCGATGAATTTACTTCAAGCGCTCATTTGTCCAGACAAACATTCCGAATAAGATACGGAGTGGAGGAGGAAAGTGGTTCAAAAACACCTAATCCAGCGTGACTCAATATTTGTAGTCAGACAAAAATAATCTACAGACATGTGATGAGTAAGATAAGCAGTGTACATACATAAGCCCATACAAAAACAGTCATTGTTAATAAGTGAATAACTGTCATGGTCAAAATTTGGCTCAAAAAGAATGAGTAAGTCGGTCTATCCTGAAATCATAATGACCCATATGGGCTTAATATGGTACCAGATACTACAAAGTTTAGTGGCTCCCAAAAAGGAAATGTTTTCACTATGAAAAACTGTGCGATAGGTAAAAACAAATAAGATATATTTTAAGCTGTTTGGTAAAACGTTAAATACTTTCCGCTGAAGGTCTATAAAGTGGCCCTAATTTGTAACAGGCACAATAAAAATCAATGAAAATTTTCCAATGGATCATAGGATACATATGTATTGTATTAAGTATAGAAAACTATATACGCAACCGTCTGACATATGAAAGTGAAATAGACTTTTGAAACACAAAAAGCTCTCCGACCACTATCAAGCTATTTGCGTAAAACCGAGACAGGTAAAGGAAATTCAAATCCTGTAAATGTCATCTATGTCCTAATTGCTCCTGAAATAAGTTACATAACTTAGTACCAATAATACCACTTGCAAAGAACCTTCCTTTCAAGAGACGACTAGAACTCTTCAAGTTATGTTAAGCCATGAACTTGTTTACTAAACTTATAGTGCTCGATTTGACGCAGTTCAACCATCAAAATCATAATCGTGGTAGTGTCTTGTTCAAAAAGGTGTTATAAAGACCTATATCAAATAAACACCCAGTTGGCTTCATGAGTCGTAGATTCATCTATTCAAACTACGTTAAAGAACATCTTTTACCATCAGAGGAAATAATTTATTAGGTTACATTATCACTAGTTTCCCAAACGTAGGTGTACACTTTTAAAGTTGTTGATTAGAGTAAGTTCTAAAAAGACATTAAGGCAGAAAGCCGTAACTTGACAAAATTTTACAGGTGTAAATCAAATGAACAAAAGTTTTCCCGACTTACCTTGTGAAGATAGACCGAGTTGTTGTAATATGGTGTTTTTATATAACGACAACTGCTACGTGCATTAGTGTATATCTGATTCGGATTCTAAATAGGAAATCTAATCAGCTCACTGCTTCCTCTATGACTTAAGTGTCTAACCATTAGTACACGTTATAGCATAAACTGAACAATTCTGGGAATTTCTGGTTGAAATACCGAATTCGATTGCTTATAATTATCATATTCACTATCTTATCGTACGCTATGAGGTGGCCTAATTCTAGTTTACGATATACTGAACAATGATGTTAGCATTACTATGTCTTTCCCGTTCCTACCATCAAGAACAGATCATCTGCGAGGACATTCTCAGAAAGCTCAGAAGTCAAGATCAAATTATTTACTGCTGTGGTTCTATTTCTCTCATCGAGTCATGAATTACAGAAATCCCTTACAAAAACACATAAAACCGGCACCTCATGTTGATTCATTCGAAGCTGTATCGGATTTTCTTAGTTCTACAGACTGAAAATATGATCACAGACCACATAACCTCTTATCCATACCTTTGAAGAATAAAAACTGAGATTAAGGTCATTAGCATTTTAGTTGTATAAAAAATATTTTCCGTGATAAGAAATGACTCAAATGACTCATTTTTCGAAAAGGCAATGTTTACATGGGTATAAAACAAGAGAGTAGTGATTCTTTAAGTTCTTTTCAGTTTTCATTTCGAGTTTACTACTGTTGTCAGATTTTGTCAAAATTTACGATAGAGAGTGTCTTCCACGTAAACTAAGTGACGAATATCTTAAGGTTATTTAAATATTATGGGTTACTATCCAAATTTCTATAGGTTATCTGTATTTTCCAAAATTTTGTTGCCTGGGTATTTATAGTCTCAACTTATGAATATATCATGCGGCATTGGATTTATATTAAGAAATAAGCTCGAAATAATGAGTGATTTACAAGAAGTTTACTAAGATACCAAAACACTTTTTACTATCTATGAAGACGTCCGAAAAACCAAGTACACTGTTAGATTACCGTTCTAAAAATTAGAAGGGCAAAATAATTATTCAACTTGGGAAGCCCTCAGAAATAAATATCATTCCAACCTTCTGATAAGGATTCTTTGTTACAACTGAGTAACCCGCTAAGTAAACTGTACCATATTAGCGCTTTATATATAACTCAGATACCGAGGTTGACGAGAAAACTAAAACAAAATATTAGCATTTGTCCTTAGAGAATACCAAGATGTTTTTTAAATTACTCCTGGTCGGCCTTTAAATTTCAGTGGGATATTCAGCCTCAACTGAATAGTTTACAGGCTAACTTCAAAGCTATCTCTAGCGATAATATTCAGTTTCAGTTTCAGTTTGGAAAGGACAGGAGGCTTGATGGACTGTGTTAGTCCTGGCAATGATGGTCTCTCAGCTGATCCAACTTTCTTTTGAAGGAGTCGACGGATGGAGCCTCAACCACGTGCTGAGGTAATGAATTCCACTCGTTGATTATTCAATGGGAAAGTCGGTAGTCAGCTGACAAGTAATTCGTTCTGGGCTTGTGAACTTTTTTGAAGTGTCCTCGTAGATTTTCTGTTTTGGAAGACAAGAAAAATGAGGGCATATCAGGTGCGAATTTGTCATTAAGCAATTAGAAAACTATAATTAAGTCACCTCTGATTCTTCTATATGACAGCGGGAATAGGTTTAGCTTAGTCAGTCTAGTACCATACGGGAGCTTCGCTATTCCGGGAATCAGCCTAGTTGCTGTTCTCTGAACCCTTTCCAAGAGTTCACTGTCTTTTTTTAGACAGGGGTTAGCTGCTTGTATACAGTACTCAAGTTTAGGGCGTACGAACACTGTATACAAAGTCAAAAACGTTTTAGCGTCAAGATGCCTAAAAGCCCTACGTATGGACCATAAAGTCCTAAAACCTTTGGCGGCTATTGCACGGCAGTGTGCAGTAGTCTTTAAGTCTTGACTGACGATGACGCCTAAGTCGTTGTGTGCCTGAACAATAGGTAATTCAGTGTTATTCATCGTGTATGTATCTACCTTGGTGGCCAATATGCATCACAATACACTTGGAAGTGTTTATCGGCAATTGCCAGGTTTGGGACCATTCAGATAATCTCTCCAGGTCATTTTGAAGTTCTAAGCTATCGCCCTTGCTTTGCATCGCTCTCCATATCTAGTTAGGCTAATTGGTCGGTAATTCTCAGGCTTATGTTTTGAACCTGTTTTGAAGACTGGACTTACTATGACGTTCTTCCAGTCTTTTGGTAGACGACCCTGGGTTACGGATAGACTAAAACATACACTTAAAGGGTTCGCAACAAAGTTAGCTAATTCCTTTAATAACCTAGGATGCAGTTCATCGGGTCCAGTGGATTTACCTATGTCAAGCTTAACTAGCAGACCAAAGACATCGAGTTCTTTAATGGTCACGCTGTCCAGTGCTTGTGTGGGTGGATTTTCATGGACTGGTGAGAAGGGTGTTTCTATGGTATATACATCGCTAAAGTATTTAGAGAATACTTGAGCTTTGCCAAAGTCATCCTCCACTAGTGATGTGGCAGTACTGTCTCCCCATAGTGAAGGAACATTTCTTCTTCTTTTTGTCCTTTGGTTTATATACGAATACAAGCGTTTAGGGCATTCTATGGATTCCCTAACGATTTTCTCTTCGTACAGCTTTCTGGCCTTACGGAGGGTCGAGGCACAGGTATTTCGAGCCTTTTGATACTGAGATTTCGCCTCGTCAGTCCCCAGTAACCTAAATCTGTCCCACATTTTCCTTCTTTTACGGAGAAGGGTGCGAACCTCCCTACTGAACCACGGTGGGGCATTTCTCGGTCTCTTAAGTGTAGTCCAAGGGATGTGGGGGGTGGTAACTTTTAAGTATAAATTCCGGAATACGTCCCAAGCCGTTTCGATTGATGACTCTGGATCTAATTTCCAATCTACTAATGATGCTGATTTCATGATGTCTGCTATGTTTGCTTTACAGACGTTAGGTCTGGATTGAGCTGAAGCGTACTCGTGATCGACAGTTATATGGAAGTCAAAGCTCAAAACTGCATGATCACTTTTGCCTAGGGGTGGCATGTAATCCAGGTTTGCAACATCATCCTCATAATGAGTCAATATAAGATCTAGTAAGGATGATGCAGAACCCGGGTCGTACCTAGTTGCTTCCTTCACGTGTTGCACTAGAGCACATGTGATTATCGCATCAACTAGTTCCTGTTCGAAGGAGTTTGCTAACGATTCAGTCCGCAGAGTTCCCCAGTCCACCATGGGTGCATTAAAGTCCCCTAGGATTAGACATCGATCACTTCGTGATAAAGTGTTGAGACTGCTTAGCAGGACCTCATTTGCCTCACAGCTTGGACTGAGATAGATCAAACTAAGTAGCAACTCTTGTCCCCTGCATTTCAGGCGGCAGCAAACTAATTCGTACATCCCACTCTCATGGGATACACTGTCGATAATGGTGAATGGAATAGCATTCCTAATGAATAGAGCTACTCCCCCTCCTTTACGCGTTTGTATTTTATCGGCCCTTACCAATGTAAAACTCTCGAAATCAAGTTCCCTACTATCTATAGACGACGTCAGCCATGTTTCTGTGACTGCGATTATGTCTGGCCTAGTTGAGTCAATCTGTACACCTAGTTCCGGTAGCTTATTTGGTAAGCTCCGGGCGTTGGTATAACAGATCCGACTGTTAATTTCTGTGAACTCGCACTAAGTGTTAAAGACTGAAGAAAGTGCCGAATCCTCTGTTCAGAGAGTCAGAGAAGATTGATATCATTATCTCATCCTCTGTTGAACCTTATTTGAAAACAGCTGTATAACTGCGCTGTATACGAACATTCGGCAGAGATTTTAAGATTGTGTAATTGATTTATGTCCCGAGATAAACGTTGATAGTGAAGGACCCGAAGGATCTTCGCACCCTACACAGAAGAATGCAGTGGTTCGTTTCAATGAACGAATTCTCGGTTCAGTTGAATTGTTTTCTTTGGCCAAATCAAATACTTGAATTTTAATAGTTACACTGCCTGATAGCTAGTAATCATCAAGTGAGAAATAATTTAACTGTCTGTCAGTAGTACTAAGGTGTTGATTTTGAACTCAGATTCGGACCATGTAGAGGAAATACGAGTAGACGTAAGTTCAGATATGCGCAAAGCTTTTTGCCTCATTTTCATGTCCAAACTCTAATCTCTGTAACGTCTATAAGCGAAGTACAATTAACTATTGTACTACATATAATAGCATATCTGACTATTTTTCAATCTCATAAACGAGGAAATTGAATCTCTTGTCACTGAGTAAGTAAAATGAAATTATATGGTTGCTTCGTGAAGTAAGAGGGAAGACAGGATACAGGTCTCATGTTCAGAGGAAATAGCTAGAGTAAATGAGTTAAATCTTAGAATAACGACTCAGACAGCATATTTATAACCACAAAGAAAGTTCAAACTAAGTACTTAGATATCGTCCAAAAATGCCGCTATTTCTGCCGACGGGTTGAATGGTCGTTAGAAGCCAGTTTTCATATGCTTATAAGTAATGAAAGATATTTACACTATTACGACATTACATTATAGGCGATGTTTGAGCGATGTTAAAATTGATCTTAAGAAGATTCGTCTACTTGCTAGGGCCGGGAAAGAGAGTTATAAATTAGTGTGAAGAAATTAAAATTAGAACTGAAAGGTAACAATTAGGGCAAAGAACTAGAATAAGATCTTTTATCGTGAGTTGGCATCAGACAAAATCCCAAAATGCTATGTATCCATATGGTCAAATGAGATTTTAAGGATTGAAATCTTTAATCCCATTGGTCTATCCGTATACTATAGTTTCACCACATGCATTACGGTGGTGGGGCTAATTCCTCTGGAGGTTTTCTGATATGATCGTATTGGTTGTTATCTTTGAGGCTGAGAACAACGAGTGGTTGTTGTACGGTTGAATACACTAATGTTAGACATCTTAGCAGCGAACTAGACTACTTTCCCACCCGATGATCACACTCCTTAAATTTGTGATGGAGCATATGGACATAGTCCAAAAAGCTGAGTTCTATCCAAAAATTCAGTTTAGAAAATGTAAGATTTACTTTAACTCAAGTCAGAAACACAATTTCTTTGAGGCGGATCATACTTTTGAAGTCTCATGAAAAGCAACTCATCAACCTGTAGATGGTGTCGAGTCACGATTGACTATGATCACAACTACAGGAAGACTATGTGCCAGGTATCGAGTTGGATCCCTCTGTAATCCAAAAACCAGAAAGCTGCTGATGGTTGCAATAAGATACATTTCTTAGCGATCTTGTGGTATCGAAAAAATACAGAGACAAGCCAAAGTTTACAAGCGGGACTACCGAGCGTACTCCAGTTCATGCAATGCCACAGGCAATGGAAGAAAGTGTGCCTTTGGTGCACTTAAACAAACAAGTGCAGTAAAATAACCACTTGCTATAATAATAATAAATGTTATTATTATACCAATCACGTTCTCTTCACAGAAGTAGGTCACTACAAACCTATGCTCTATTTGATACACATGTTCGATATACCTCAAGCTCCTAGCTGAGCAGCCAAATATCTGAACCAATAAATCCAACAAAAGACCTCCATTGATGAAATCCTTCAGTTGGCATAAGATTCCTGTAAGGGTCACCATTACTTTGTGAGCTTTGTGTCGTATGCATTGTAAGTATAAAGGTATATATTGTGCTGCGCTTCATATGGTTAAACTATGGAAGCGTTGTGTTGGTTCTCATGATTCTTGTAAGATTACATCAACATCCAGACGTTTTGTGAACTCTGTAGTAGATCAAAAATTAGTTTTCCACAGTGTGTCCGTTCCACCGATGGAACAACATTGACTACCTGAGCGAGAACACAATAGTGGGTAAGAGAGCGTACCGACCTACCAAATAAAGTGCGAATCACTCACTCATCATATACTACTCCATCTTTAGGAAATTGACCCGTTTTTTACTCAATCAAATGCGCTTGTCCTTGACGTCACTTCAGATTGTCATCGATTGACCCTCTCCTTAAACCACTTCCCATTGGCTCCCTAATTTGCTGTTATTAATACTAAATGAGATGGTTGTGGTTGGTGATAGTTTATTGTTCGAGTTACT